TGTCATGCAGTATACTGTTTCCATGAAAATTATCTCACATTTTCTTCACAAGAATCCTGCAAGCTACTTATTATTATCCCCCTTAATTTATACTGAGATAACTGAAATCTTTACAGCTTGAACTAAAGCTAGTCATTCTTCAAAGACTAAATTATTTTCTCCCTATTACAAAAAATAAAATAAATAAATGAATAAAACCCTCTAAAGCAAGTTCTCATTACCCAAACTGTTATAGAAATGCAGAAAGAGGATGGGAGCCAAGAGTTTTTTGATGCAATAGCAGCCACTTGATTGGAGGAGGGGAAAATGTATTCCCTTTGAAGCAGGATTTGGGTCCAATATAATAGAACAGGTTAGGGAATATTAGAATTCTTAAAGCAATCTCTTACACATAGCACTGAAAGGTCAACTGTGGGCTTTCATGCAAAGAATATGAATTCAATCCTCAAAGCTCTGAGCTGGTATTACCATTAAGGAGCTATGGAAAACAGCAATTGATTTCTGCTCTTCCTTTTTCATAATCAGGACACATATTCACAGCCAATGGAACGAGACTACTATCTTGTATTTTCTTAGTGCCCATCTCTCAGCTTCATTATAGATTTTTAAAATTATAACTGGTCCTGTTCCTTTCTCTGGGATTAAGGGTTCCGTATCATCCCGAATGCACAAATGAGTTAGCAGACACAGCCTGGACTTGTGTGACATCTGAATAAAGGCTAAGGAACTGGAGCAGCCGTGAGCATGCTGATCAATGGCTCTGAAGTCAGGCAGATCTGAGCTTGAATCCAGGCTCTTCAACGTTGAGTGAGTTTCTGAACGTGTTTGTGCCTTGCCTTCCATATCTTTAAATGAGATAATAATAGAACATACTTCATAGGGTTATTGTGAAGATTGAATTAACAATTGTGAAGTTCTTGACAGATTTCTGGTTTATAATGGAACTCAGTGGGGGTTAATGTGTAATAATCACTACAATAATAAAAATAATTTGGTAGCAAATATCCATTTTTCTAATTAACGGTGTCACTATAGTCAGAATACTTGCTACTTTACAGATATACCTGTTATATATAAATGTTATAGATAAATATAAATTTCTTGGTGTGAAATAGTATATATTCTCTCCTCACACCCAAAACATTAATTATAAAAAGTAATTAATTACTACAGAATTCTTACTGAACCACAGCATAAAATGCCCATTATCATCACCTAATGTTTTAAAAATGACTCTTATTAAGATAAATGTGGTATTCAATTAGCAATTCATTTTCAACCTTTTAATGAATCATTGAGGATGGTTAACAAGAAGGCTTCTTTTATTTCATAATTTTTTTCCCTCTTATATAAGCTTCCGAAACCTCCTTCTCTGGACAAAATCTAGAAATGTAAATTTGAATTTGATTTGAATAACTGGCAAATCAATGAAGAAATTATATGTCAGATGTTGTATGTCTATTTTATTCATGTTTTTATTTTTAAAATTT